GTTACTACTTTTTGAATTTCACGTTAGATGGCACTGTTTCAATAAAGTGAAATGTGGATTATCGGCGTAATTCAAATTATTACGCAACAGTTAAAACTAATTTTAGGATTTATTTACAAATATATTATATGTTATTTATTAAAAAAAACATCAATAATCAATAATATAAAATAGAAATTAACATCTTGAGGAAGGAAAATACTTAACCCTCTTTTTTTGATGATCTGTAATCAGATAAAAAGTAACCTATACGCATGAAGTTATAGTTTATCTATAACTTCATGCCTATACGTTGCCCCGGGTCCCTAACTATCTACCATAGATATAAGAAAAATAGGGCATCTGGCCACGTGATCTGAAGTCAAGTGTTTCTCAAATATGGCGACGACTCCACCCCTAAGAAGTAGCGTTGTTTTTGTCGATATTTTCAGTATCGATGCTATATAAATTATGACATTTTGTCCATCTCATAGGTATATATTAAATAAACAAATATTAGATCACTACACTACTGCATTGGGTTAATCCTGTAATAATAGTTGTATTGAGATGATAAATAAATAAATCTTACGTTCAACTCAGAATAGGAAAGTTTTCAAACTAGTTAACTAAGATATGGTGAAGCAACAGTCAAAAGTGAGCGAAGAGACTAAGGAAAGAGCACTTGATTGGAGCTTTAACTCCTTTCTTTTCAGAACACGTATACGTATACACGTATACACCAGAATATTATACTGAGTTCGTGCAAAGAACTAACGTTTTTTCGTAACGACGGCAATCTGCACATAAGCACTTCATTCGTGTGTCCCTGGGTCGACGCATGCATTTTTTTCTCCTCTGCAGAGATTAACGAAAACACCACTATAGGCAATGTATTAGGCTTCGTATGATTTTTTTGTCCAGCCCATGCTGTCCCACTACTAGGCAGAAGGCTCCCCTAAGTTTTTCCCAGTGGTTTTGTCTTGCACCACATCGAACCAGCCCCAACGGTATGCGTCCAGGTTGCGCGAATTTTATCATATATATATATAGACTTTATAGCGGCTGGGAAGTTAGTTGCGAGCGCAAGTCCTGTACCTTCACGCTTCGATTTACGTACAGTGATCTGAGACACCATCAAGTTTTCTTTCAACTATATCTGCACGGACTAGCGCTCGCTCTTAACTTCCAAGCCGCCATAAAGATTCGACAACACCTTTCTTTCGTGGTAATGGTCGGTTACCAGTTCAAGTCACCATGAACGTGCAGTAGACTGACCTTTATCTTGATTTATTTAAAGTTTGTGGAGCATGTGTTCTTTCATACATAGTTACTAGCCGTCAACTCTCTTTTTTTTGATAATAAAGATTATTTATTTATTTATCTCAGTAATCTAATCGAGTTGAGCAGCGCCTTTCTAACCATACCACCGTTCACACAATCCATTAATCATTTAACTATCCTAACGTATTCCTCAATCTTCAGCATCCCATGTTCATACCATATGACAACTAATTTCCATGCAACATTTCGATCAATAGGGATGGCTGCGCCACTTCAGACTTCCACTTCCATACTCATTTCTCATAATATCCCATATGTGTAACACCACAAAATATCAATTTTATAGTGTTTACAACCTGCAAGTTGTAATGACTTCCACCAGTAGCGTAAGTAGTGGTGGATACTAGAGGTAAACGAGAGAGTAAGGATTAAAAATAAATATAATAACAATAATGTATACTGATTAAAATCATTTATTCGTGACGAAATAATATTATTTATTCAGAAAATTTATTAGACACATGAACCAAATCACCCTTAAGCCGAACTACATCCTACATACACATACTTTTCAAAATGCAAGGAGCTTATTCTTCTTACTACTGCAGGTTTTATGTTTTCCTGGCCTATATTATCAATCCACAATTTTTGAAGGCCTTCATTTTTTGGCAACCTAAAATAAATATTATGCATCCTTAAGTACCAATCAGAAATAATCTTAACATCATCAAATCTTTTGATGAAAAAAACTATTATAGAAAATTTACGATTTACACTATTTTCAAGTTCTTTTCTTAAATGAAAGGCTCTCAATCGATCGTTTGATTAAATATACAGTATACGTATCTAAAACGTTATTTGACCATAGCACTACATTAACAATATTATTGTTAAAATTTATATCGATAATTTCAAAACATGACAGCACGTAAGGGCAACACTATGTAAAAATGTAAACAATCAAAGTGTTTACTTGTTTAAATTTACATGATAATAGTCATTGGAAATTCGAGATAATAGCGGGAAACACGATTTAGAACCCATAACATGAAAACGAAACGCAATTCACACGAAAAAATATACAAATATGGAAAAAAATACGACTAACCTGAAAAATGACAATCCTTCTTCATTTTAACGAGAATTTGAATTACATCCATTGATGCAACACTTTGTCATGTTGTTTTTGCTCAATTATCCTTTACTAATGAACAAAAAAGCTCCAAAATCGTCAAAATTCACTGTAACACTGCAAAATAACTCCGAACAAGGCTTAGATGACAGACAAACTACCACAAATTAACGTCATCCTAAAATGGCGCTATGCTTCAAGGTGGAGCTTGGTGAAATTATGAAAACTGTCAACAGAAAATTGAAGTCTAAGATATGTACTTATCTTTTTTTACATTCGAACATCATGACGTGTGAGAATGAGACAGATATATTTTTGTTGTCAAGGTTCATGTTTGCATGATATTTGTATAACCAAAAAATATATATGCAATTTACTGCTTATCCTCTATTTTTCTTATATCAATGCTATCTACACACAAAATTTTATGGAAATCTGTCCAGTAGTTTTTGCGTGAAACGGTAATACACAAAAAGACAGACAGACAAAAATTCTAAAAACCACTAATTTGGCCTTAGTGCCCTTTATTTAGTCCCCTGGAATTGTTCTAGCATGACAGTGCCACGTCACTCACCAGATCTGACCTCGTTATACTTCTTTCTCTGGGGTTATGTGAAAGAAAGGGTTTTTAATCGTGAGTGCGATAGTACTGACGAAATGCGCCAAAGGATCGTGGATGTTTTCGACAAACTATGTACGGACTGTGTCGAAGACGACACGATGATGAGACGCAACACCGAGCCCAAATCTGCCTCGGAATGAATGGAGCACAATTTGAGCCGCATCTCATAAGAGCACGGAGTATTTAGAGCGGTAAGCTGTTTCATAACTAATTTTTTTTTAAATAACTTAGTACTAAATTAATCTGAATAGGTATATAACTGAATACATGAGAATAATAAACATACCTACACGATGAATAAAAACGCATGACTCTAACCTTGGTTACATTTCATTTAAGTATTTTTTTCATTAGTGGGGAATCGAACCAGTTATTTTGGGTTATTTAACCTGTGAATTCGGATTAAAGTGGCTACGTGGAGACAAGCACAGTGGCAAAATAGTAGGTTAAGTAGATAAGTTAGGTATTTAGACAAGTGTTGTAAATTATTAGGTATTGTGGTACCATCGCAAGTTGCAGGCCTCACGAATTAGGCGTTCGCGCGTACATTGACCTCTAGTCAGCTGATTGTAATTCAGTAATTCCACTGCTGGCTTTATGTTTCAGTATTTTCATGATTTTTTTTATGAAATTGTCGTTTCAATTAACTGTATTAACATGATGGAGCATGAATAAATCTAATAAAATGTTGTGAAAAGATGATTTTTTTTCATCAGGATCGATTTTATATTTCTCCCATCTCCCATCATCAAAGGTATAGTTGGTACAGTCGTCTGTCTTCGTTTTCGGGAGCATTTCAAAAATACCCTGTATGTATAGATTATAAATATTTAATTTATTTGAAATTTTAACATCTAAAGGGAGGAAAATACATAACCCTCTTTTTTTGAAGTTTCGTAAGCGGATAAAAAGCCTATAAGTTGCCCCGGCTCCCTAACTACCTACATAAAAAAACCGATTCACGCAAAAAATCTATTCAGTATTTTTTGCGTGAATCGGGATACACAGATAGACAGACAGACAAACAGACACAAAAATTCTAAAACTCACTAACTTTGCTTCAGTGCCCTTAATTTACTTGACTTGGTTATTTCAGAAAATATTAGAATTACAGACACGACTTTTCTACAGATTTATTATATGTATAGATAATATCAGCATTAAACCATTTTGGATATTCGGACTTATTTAATTTTTTTCATGATTTTATTCCTAAAGTATTTGTTTTTATTTTTTCTCCATACTCTCTCTTGCCGTGAGCGCCAGGGTAGCTCAGATGATTAGCGCTCGCTATAAGTTTCATAGTACGCGAGCAACCCGGGTTCGATCTCCGCCGGCACCAATGAAATTGTTAATTGCAATTTTAAGTGCTGATTTACCATGTGCTCGGCGGTAAAGGAACATCGTGAGGAAACCTGCATGTCTGAGAAATAAGAAAAAAGAATATTTCGAACACATATGAAAGTGGCCGACACGCATTGGGGCAGTGCGAATAACCCTCTCAGAAATGAGAGGTGGCCTGTGCCCAGCATTGGGACGTACATAGGCTGTAACTTTACTTTTACTTTACTTTGCTCTCTCTTGCCACCCCGTTACGCGTTCTTTTGAAAAATCGCAAAACACTTCTTCATTTATTTTATTCAGACTACTTTTAGCAAGTAGCAAGTTTCGAGTGAATTATCCCGTAAGATAATACATTTTAAAAAATTTATAAAATATATTAAAGCTCCATTTATGAAAAATGCATAAATTAATACTATTTTACAAAGTATACTTAATAAACTTATTCAATTTAAGTCCATAATTTATCAAAACGATAAATGCATTTATCATTTTGATATCAAATTTCATGTTTGCAACAAACTGCAAACATGAAAATTGAGTAACAGGCGCTTAACGTGAATAACGCCCCGTTTTATTTTAACTTTTAAAGTATGTCCTACAGTCTGCAGATACTCCTGCAAAGCGTCACACGCATGTATCATGTTCTGGATGGTGTTTCGGTACCTGTTCCTATCAACCTTCTGCATTGTGCGTCTCAAGTGTGAAGTTCAGCAAGACCGACCTAAAATCAAGACCTCAGATGGCGACCTCATTTTAGAGCCTAGTTACGATAAAAATATTTATTTACGCCCCAATGGCCCAAAATCCAACTTGTTTATAGGAGAACTAAATCTACTTAACATCAATACTTCTATGAACACCAGAGATAATCAACCATCTTCAAGCGGTAATTATGGTAAGAACTATCAGGAAGTAAATGGGATTTTAGAACGCTTACAAAAATTAGAAAACCAACAACCTCCCTTACCTAGTGGCCTGCTTTTTAATATATCAATCCTTGCAAGAAAAATCAATCGACTAAATAACAGAGTTTCATTACTGCAATCACAAATTAGCGGAAGAACAAATAACTGCCAAGCAAACACATGTAAGCACGGCGGTACTTGTTTAAATTTGATGTCCGGCTATTACTGCCTTTGTCCACCGAACTGGGAGGGGACTGATTGTGATGAAGATGTAAATGAGTGCCGAAACTTTGCCGGTACCGACTTGGGCTGTCAGAATGGAGCTACTTGCATCAATAAACCGGGATCGTATGATTGTTTATGTAGAACAGGTTGGTTCGGTTTACATTGTACAAGAAAAGCCAAAGATTGCTCGGGAGGAGATTTTGAAATGTGTGGACATGGCACCTGCTTGCCAGTGACTTCTGGAGATGGAATCAAATGCATTTGCGATCAAGGTTGGACTACGAACGGTACTGGTATAGCTTGCCTCGCAGATGTAAATGAATGTGAATCGTCACAAGGAGCCCGATGTTCCGTTAATCCTAGGGTTGAGTGTATCAATCTTCCTGGTTCATTCCGATGTAGTGAATGTCCAACAGGTTACGAAGGAAATGGATACGTCTGCTATGATATCGACGAGTGTGTCATCTTACCAAATGGAGGTTGCAGCGAAAGTCCTTTTGTAGCTTGTCACAATACGATTGGATCAAGATCCTGCGGCCCATGCCCTCCGGGATACCTAGGTGATGGTGTTACCTGTACTTGGATAGGCTCATGTAATATAAATCACGGCGGATGTCACCCGGCAGCTTACTGCGTTGATAAATGGTTTGGATCGGGAAGAAGAACACAATGTGTTTGTCCCAACGGTATGGACGGCGACGGCGTAGGTCTTGATGGATGCTACATTTCTATCGAAGGTAATGCAACACAACACTGCGAGAGCAATCCGTGCGGTGAGCATGGGCATTGCCACGCTCTTCGAACTGGTTATACATGCATCTGTCATAAAGGCTTTACTGGGGTACACTGTGAGAACACGGCAAATTTATGTGCAAATTATCCTTGTCGAAATGGAGGCAGCTGCATTGTTGATGAAAATTCGTCAAGAGGGTTCAGATGTGAGTGTACTGCACTATTTTCTGGGGATCTTTGTCAGTCGCATTCAAATCTTTGTGGCGGTGTGTTAAATCACGAAGAGGGTAGCATTATTTATCCCATATCTAATACAACCTATAGTCATAATGCCCGTTGTGCGTGGGTGATTCACACCTCACCCGATAAAGTAATTAATGTTACATTTAGTAAGTTCAATTTAGAAACTAATCCTGAGTGTCAGTATGACTTTTTACAAATACATGACGGTCGAAGCTCAGCCAGTCAATTATTAGGACGATTCTGTGGTAACACTTTCCCTTTAGGTGGAAATATTATATCTAGTCATAATAATTTATATTTCTGGTTCCGATCAGACCAAACAGTAGCTAAGGATGGTTTTGCCTTGCATTGGACTAGTATAGATCCAGTTTGTGGAGGGGAAATCGATGCAAGCACCCATGGTCACATCAGCTCGCCTGGGTCACGTGGTAAGTACCCGCCTAATAGAGATTGTTATTGGCACCTCACGACTACCTTTGGAAAAAGAATACTACTACACTTTTTCGAACTTGACATTGAAGCCCACCCTAACTGTAGCTTTGATTACGTTGCCATTTACGATGGAGGACATATCACTGATCCTCTACTCGAAAAATATTGTAACTCAACCCTACCTGGACCTGTGCAATCGGTGAGCTCTGAAATTTTAATACATTTTCATTCCGACGCTTATGGTTCTGGTTACGGTTTCCGTATTACATTTGCTCCTGTAGAAGGTATACCAGGATGCGGTGGTTACTTCACTGAATATAGAGGGGAAATTTCATCCCCTACATATAACGGTAAATATCTCAATAACATAGTATGTGAATACAAAATAAAAACCAGTGAAAGTACTAAAATCCGTATAAATTTCATAACATTTTCAATCGAAAGTTCATTCCGCTGTAAATACGACAACGTAAAAATTTATGATGGTCCGTCGTCCGACTCTCGCCTTGTTGGTAAATTTTGTGGCAAAAATTATCTAAAATCATACACATCATCTTCAAATGCATTATTCATAAGATTCAAATCTGATCATACTATGTCCTCAGAAGGTTTCAAAATAACTTATGAAGCAATTTGTCATAAAACACTATACGGTGATAGCGGAGTTATCAAATCACCCGGATACCCTTTCAGTTACCCAGAAAACACAGTCTGTGAATATATTATTAGTACTACTCCAGGAAAAGCGATACAATTAACATTTCAAGATTTTGATATTGAAAGTAACAGGTACTCTAATTGCCAATATGATAATGTAGAAATCAGAGACGGACCTGATATAAACTCGACTCTGCTTGGAACTTTCTGCGGTGGTTCTGAACATATACCACCTGTTCAAACATCAACATTTAATTATATGTACATCCGATTTAAATCTGATATGAGTGTTTCAGGTACAGGATTTTACGCAAACTATACAACGATAGATACTGAATGTGGGGGCATACATAGAGAGACTTCTGGAGAAATCAATCATCCCTCTGCTACAGAAACTTATTATAAAAACGATCAGACCTGTACATGGATAATAATCGCCCCTGAAGGTATGCATATAAAGTTAACATGGAATAGATTCAAGCTGGAAAACCTAGTTCGACCTTCATGTAGCACTGACAACGTTGAATTGTATGAAATAGATGACGAAAATCAACGTGATTTTCTAGGACGATACTGTAAATCTTCATCGCCACCAGCGCTTACTTCTTCTACTAACAGACTTATGATAAAGTTCGAATCTGACAGCAGTATACGAGAGAGTGGTTTCTCACTATCTTACTCATTTTTAGACGAAAAATCACATTGTGGTGGATTGTTCGTAAAGCCTCACGGCTACATCTATTCACCTGGATGGCCAAATACTTACGAGCCGAATCGAGATTGCATTTGGACAATCACTGTACCTTTCGGACAACAAATTATGCTAAATTTTTCTCAATTCGATCTCGAACGCCCGATACGTGATAAATGTGACTTAGGAGATTTCTTAGAGATAAAAAATGGGGCCTCGGAGAATACCCCGTTAATTGGAAAGTATTGTGGTAGTTTTAAGTCGAAACGTATTTTATCCACTGCCAATAGTTTATATTTGCATTTTCATTCCGATTATTATTTGTCAGGACGCGGTTTTATAATTGAATGGGATGGCAGTATCACTGGATGTGGAGGGACGCTGACCAGTATTAGTGGATCAATTTCATCACCAAACTATCCCGATAATTACAATGAAAACGCTGAATGCTTTTACAGAATAGTAACGAGCAGTGGTTCTAGAATTCGAATATCTTTCACGGAATTGGATTTGGAGAAAACACCAAACTGTAGAGATGATTATATAGAATTTTTTGATGGCAGAGACACAAACGCGGTGAGCCTTGGCAAACATTGTTCAATGTCGTCTATTTTAAGCAATATAGAGACAACCACTAATTTTGCATATATTAAATTTCGGTCTGATATTTATTTAGGTGGTAAGGGTTTCTTGCTTAACTATGATACAATATGCAAGTGTAATATATCTGGTAGTTACGGAGTTATTGAAAGTCCAGGTTTCCCTAGTAACTATCCACTTTACTCAAATTGCGTTTGGAAAATTAATGTCCCTAGAGGAAATAAAATTAATATTACTTTTACACATTTTAACGTCTTAAAATCATTTCGAAGTTATCGTCCATGGTTAAGACCTAATAGTATTGTGTCTCCAATACTCGTAACATGTGATTCGGATTATGTACAAATAATGGAAACTTCGGACACAATATTTACTAAAAAACTTTGTGGCACTTCATTACCAAAACCATTAACTGTCCAGAGCAATTCTGTTCAAATTAAATTTGTATCGGGTGGGTACTTTCCCAGACCTGGTTTTCGCTTAGAATGGGTACGAGATGGTTGTGGTGGTCGTATTCAAAAACGATTTGGTACTTTGTCATTGGATAAGAGTATGACTGTGGCAGAAAACGAGATTGTTTGTGAATGGATAATAGAAACTCCGTTAGGAACCAATACTGCTATAACTTTCACGGATTTATATATGATGGACTCTAAAAACTGTACAGTAGATGCTATTGAGGTCTATAACGGTCAAACTGTTGATGCGCCGCTATTAACAAAAATTTGCCACCGTGACACATCGTCAGTTCAAGGAAGTTCTAACTTTATTGTTGTTAAATTTGTGAAGCAGTCTTCACTTAGGAACGTATTTTTCCACTCACACTTCGATTCATTTAGAAATGGCTGCGGTGGCAAAATGCAATCTCGTACTGGAATGATTTATTCTAAAAATTATCCCAAAAATTACGATGATGACTTAGATTGTATTTGGTCTATTATTGTACCCAAAAACCACCGAATAAAATTAAATATTCTTGACTTCGATTTATATTCAGTAGATGACAGCGAAAATACATATATACATACATCATCTTGCGGGGATCTAGTTAGAATTTATGAAAGCGAGGATATTTTACTTTCTAATTACACCTATCGTCTGTGTCCGAAATCAAACATTACACAAGTTATTTCAAAAGATAATCGATTAACATTACAGTTCATTACAAACGATTTTGGGACTGCTAAAGGTTTTAAAGCTTCTTTCACTATGACTTGTGGTGCTTATATAACTGCACATCATGATGGAATAATAAGTTATGATCATTTTGTAAAAAATTCTAATGAAAGTTGCACATGGACTTTATTAGCACCAAAACCAAGTCAAAAAATAAAATTGACCATAACACATATGTCACTTTCGAAAGATACAACTGTCGTCACCAACAGAGCATGTCCATCAACATACCTTCGAGTTTTGGACGGCGACGACGATAATTCACCTCTGATTGATGAATTTTGTGGAAACAAAATTCCACCAATGATTGTGAGCCACGGTAGTGCGATGACGATAAAACTCGGTGCTTATATTGGAAATATTACTGGTAAATTTTCGGCCCACTATTCAACATTAATATCAGCTTGTGGAGGCGTATTAACATCAGAAGAAGGCACTATCGCTTCTCCTAATTACCCTCAATCGTATCCTTATGGATCGGATTGCGAATGGATTTTAAGCACATCACCAGGTAATAGAGTATACATAACTTTTGAAAAGTTTGACATAGAATATTCTGAAAGGTGTAATGAAGACTATTTTGAAGTACGTGAAAATGACGGCGGCGGGCAACTTATCGGTGTATTTTGCGGTAATCAAATTCCTACGAACACAACCGCTGCAAACAAGCTTTACATAAAATTCCACAGTGACAGCAAAGATTCTGGACAAGGATTTTTAATTCACTATGGATTTCTGCACGGTAATGAGATTTCTGGATTACCTTATGGTGAAGTTAGCTCACCCATGTACCCTTTCCTTTATGATGGTCAAGGTGAATATACTTGGCGCATATCTACAATTGATTCAGAATCTATTTCTCTACGCATAAACCAGTTGGAAATACCTAACCAAGGCACAACGTGCCAAAATCACTTAGCCATTTATGATGGTTATAATGACGAAGCTCCACTTTTACAAAAGATGTGCGGAATACTCGCAAGTCAAATAATCTCATTAAAAACTTCTTCGAGTGTTGTATATATTAAATTAAAACTTGAAGAAACAAATAGTGGATCGCTTTTCCATTTAAGTTGGGCACAAGCTGATAACGACGTAGAAATCAAAGTAAGCGATAAAGTTAATTGTGGGTCAAACCGTACTGAGTCTATAGCGGCTGCTCGTAGTGTTATTTTTAACTCCCCTAATTATCCAGAACCTTATGAAAACAATTTGAACTGTGAATGGGTTTTCAAATCAACACCTGGACGTCATTTAGTCTTGACTTTTCAAGATTTTTCGTTAGAAGAGACCCAAAACTGTTTTGCTGATCATGTATCTATATTTTCTTCAAGCACTCTAGACCAATGGGTACCTCTCAAAGAAAATATATGTGAAAATGCAGCTGTAAGTAGTACAATTAATGCGTCAATGTACTTAAAAATTAAATTAGAAACTGATTCTTCGATATCACAAAAAGGATTTTCAGCAAAAGTAGCATCAATGTGTGGAGGTTTCCTTTTTTCATCGTCAGGTGTAATAGAACCAATATGGACTGATAGTCAAAATATATATTCAATTGAAATGCGATGTGAATGGATGCTTAAAGTTCGCCCTGGCAGAATTATGCGAATTACATTTGAAAAGTTTAACATAACAAATCCAGACAGCAGTTGCTCTACGTATGTTATTATACGTAACGGCGAATCAAAAGAATCGCCTCTATTAGCCGATGGAAAATATTGTGGATATTCGCATGAAAATAGAAATGAAATTCTTTCTTCTAGCAATGCTGTGTTTGTTAGTTACGTTGCTAAAAATATGAGAATTGGTAATTCTTTTCGAAACTTTAAACTGCGTTTTGAAGAAAGAAATATTGAATGTGGCGGTTCATCCACATTAGATTTCGATCATAAGTGGGAAGTTATTACATCACCTGCGTATCCATCAGTACCTTCGCCTTATACGGAATGTATTTGGGTATTTATGGGACCTCCAGGAGAAATTTTACGAATTGATTTTATAGACAGATTTGACTTGGAACGTAAAGAATCTTGTTCTACAGAATTCGTAGAAATTCGAGATGGTTCATCGAATCTTTCATCTCTCAAAGGACGATATTGTGGTGAAAGACCTGGTACAATAAAAAGTAGTAACAATTTATTATACATTAAATATTCTACACAAATATCAGAACCAAGAAATGGGTTTAAAGCTAATATATCAATTGATGTTTGCGGTGGTACAATTATTGCTAGCAATGGTGAATTAACATCACCAGGATACCCCCATATGCGAGTGCTACCATACGGCACAGCTTGTAAATGGCATGTTATTGGATCGCCAGTATTAACTTTGAAACTTCAACTAAAAGATCTTAATCTACCAGAATCCGAAGTACCCTGTGCGACAAAACTTACTATCTCCGAAAAATCTGTACCTGTAAATAACACCATTACAATACTAAAAGAATTTTGTAATGATCATGTAGAAGGTTACACGACACCGATCGAATCGTTCACTAATGAAGTTATTGTTACACTTTTTATTGGAAAATCAAATGACTGGGATCAAATTTCTGAAAGCAGAGGTTTCCGTATGACGTTTAGCACCTCAAGACCTACTTGCGGTGGTACTGTTACAACACCTGAAGGATATTTAACTACACCCGGTTATCCAAGACTAACAACCATACGATTTTGTCAATGGAAAATTAAATTACCTGATACAACAAGACGTGTACACCTAGAACTTTTAGACTTCGATACGGACAATCATCGAATAGGAATATACAATGACCTAAATTTCCAAACACTTATACAATCCATACCTGATGATAATTACTCACCTACAATAAAAGTTTTTGAATCATCAGGAAGTAAATTGGGAATGTACTTATGGTTAAAACAGTTGGGATCAAAAACTCACCGTTTCAAGGCTCAGTTTACGTCAAATTATGAAGCACTATGCGGTGGTACTTTAAATGGCAAAACTGGAGAATTAGCCAGTCCAGAAATGGAACGATCTTATAACTGTGAATGGCACTATAGCTACCAAGAAAATGAAGGAGAAACTAAACCAAATACTATTCTTATTCATGCAAGAGTAAATTCTTCCTCATTGAGTATTTACAATTATACAATTTGCCGACCCATCGATTCTCGCTTAAATTTGATGTCTACATTTGCTAATGAAGATTTTACTATTGTTAGAAATATTTGCGGGAATAATACGGATGTAACCTATAGATTACCATCATCAGTGGTGGATTTTAAAGCAATTAAAAACAAAGACACTAATTTGAGCTTTTTAGTGAAATGGAGTATGCAACCATGTGGAGGGGTAGTTTATATAAACAAAGAACCGGTAAATGTTTTGAACTTACCTAATAATTATAATGGATCCTTAGATTGTGCGTGGATTATCATTTCTCCTACAAATAATAAAATTGAAATCAAATTGGAAGGGGAATTCCAATTTGATTGTTCTAATGAATACATAGAGATTGGCCAAAGCTTGACACAACTATCAATGGTTATAGGTAAATATTGTAAGGATAAAATTGCTCAATATCCATTAATTACCACATTTAAATATACATATGTACAATATCACACTAAACTGAGAAACAATACAAAAGTAAAACTTATGGTGAAAACGCTTACTAGTAAATGCGGTGGGTTACTCACAAAATCTGAACGACAATTTTCGTCACCTAACTTTCCCAAAAATTACTTCAGCAATGAAGAGTGTGTATGGGAAATTAAAGCAGATCTAGGTTACAGAATTTCTCTTAAGTTTATTGAACGTTTCGTTATTGAAGACAGACCAAATTGCACAAAAGATGTTCTTATTGTCTTTGATTGGAAGGATAATGAATATATTGAAATAGCCAAGTTATGTGGCCGGCGACTACCACCGGCATACAATTCAACATTCAACCAAATGAAAGTTATCTTCCGCACGGACGCGGAAATCAACTTAGATGGATTTAGAGCACAATGGAATGATATTTGTGGTGGGAACTATATAGCAATTGAAAATGAACAAATAATATACAGTCCAGGATATAATAACGAATACATGCGATCACAAAATTGTGAATATCGAATACTGGCTGTTGACAATAACATAAAAGTTAAATTTCTAAGTTTTGATATTGAAGGTACGTATCCGTTATGCGAATATGGTAATGTCACTATAACTGCTCATAGTCCAAACGAATATATATATCAAGTATATTGCGGGAAAGAACTCCCTCCACTTATACAAAATGTCGCTGATGTTCAAGTGCTTTTAAGCACCGACAGATATAGTGATAGAAAAGGATTTAAATTAGCATATTCTATTTATTCTTGTGGGGGTAAAATCAATAACAATATAGTTATTACTTTTGACAAGTACGAACATAATTTAAATTGTACATGGATAATAAAAGCCCCTGTTAACAAAATAGTTGTATTAAGATTTCTTCACATTGATCTGGAAAGTAATTCAGAGTGCTATAACGATTATATAGTAGCTTATAATGGATTTATTATAGATCCAAATAAACGTCTTGCACTTATGTGTGGTCGTGTAAATTCTAGTACAGTTATTAAAAGCGCGAGTAACGAAATGCTCCTCCGATTCGTTACTGACAGCAGCGTTTCATATAAAGGATTTCAAGTTGAAGTTATATTTACTTTCTCGGAATCAGCTGGATGTGGAGGACAAATCAATTTAGCTCCAACATCAAGTCAAACTTTAAAATCGCCCCTTATCGGAAACAGAGTTATATATGAAAGTTACTTGGACTGCAGCTGGTATATCAAAGCCCCAGAAGGGTATGTGGTTTCTATTGAATTCATCTCTTTCGACATATCATCTTGTCACAACGTCAATCAAACTGCTTTAGGCATTAGTAAATGTGATTGTGATTTAGTAGAAATAAGAGACGGCATAAATCCGGATAGTTTAGTAATAGACACTTATTGTGGTCACACTTTGCCTCCACAAATACATTCCTCGCTTAATCATATGTTAATACGCCTAAAAACAGACGGTGAAATTGCTAGCTCCGGCTTCGAAATCACTTTAACTGCGAAAGAATCCATTTGTGGTCAATCTCTGTATCCTGTTAGTCATAATGTGCAAATTTTAAAATCTCCCCGTTACGATACGGGCTATATTCCACGCGGTTTACATTGTTCTTACCGTTTAGACTCTCACGCTGAAATATACAATACAGTGCGTCTTACTGTAAAAAACCTAGACTTGCGACCGGGTTCCGCAAATATCAACAAATGTAACTATGATCGTCTATTAATAACGAGTAGTCCTTACTCTCAGAACGTTTCGATCGGCAAAGAATTTATTTTAAACCCACAAACTAATAGCTTTTACGATGTTTCCATTTTTTATGAGCAAACGTTCCCCAGCAGTTTAGAGCTATGCGGAAATAAAAAATCGGTCGACTTATACATTACTGGAGACGTGCTAATTAATTTACAAACAACCTCAGAAGCAGATCTGCGGAGTTACAAAGGATTTGAAATTGAATTTTTGTTCACTGGATTCTGTGGCAGAAACTATACAGATCCCCAAGGTAGGTTAAAAGCACTATACCCAACAGACGGAGAAGAAAACAAAGATTGCTACACTCTTATTACTGCTCCTGAAAATAACACAATAGCCCTTTACTTTTTCTTTATTTCACCTGATTATTACAGCAATGACGTCTATCTAGAAATATTTGATGGAGATAAGCGTAGCGCTCCAAGGTTGGTTAAGATTGTTAAAGAATTCTCTGAATACACAGCAGTGTTTTCTACTGGCAGAAATTTGCTTTTATATAATCATCCCGTTAACAAAAATCAAGTGACTTTCGACTCTAACTACGTGGTTACCAACAAGGGCCGCGGGTGTGGCGGTAAACTGCACAATGTAGTGGGGCGAGTTGCAAGTCCGATGTACCCAGCGATATACCGCCATAAGAACATTTGTGAATGGGAGCTTGAAACTCCTCATGGGTCACGATTAATGCTCCATTTCGCAGTATTTGACCTTGGCATTGTGTGTGATCAAAATTACATGCAGTTAGTCGATAGAAATGGCAATACAATATCTACATATTGCTCTGAAACACCAGCAGATTACACGAGCTTAAACAATTATGTTAAAATTGTGTTCATTTCAAACATGAACAACGGCGGGACAGGTTGGGTTGCAGATTTTGTAGCAGTTTTATATTAGATAGATAGTAGATACTTACATTTTGTTGCCATAATTAACAAAGTTTATCTTAATCAGGGTTTCAAATTGAATATTTAAGAGTAGATAAGAATAATAATGATTAATTATTAATTTATTTCTCAGTAATGATAAAACACACCATAAATTATTGCATATTAGTTACGAGCACAAGTATTATCAAAATAAGATAATGCCAATATTAAATTTAATAGCATAATATCATCATATCAAATAACGCCTTAAGCATCAGTATACCTGTATAATATTGGACTATATATTTCATGTTTCGAAATTGTACCTATACTTATTGCTTCATTAAAATGGTTCTAACCTACGTGTTACAATTCATAAAATGTTACCAATGATTTTGTATTTTGTGGTGTGTTAATGAAATTTTACATTTTATCGTTCGCGTGGGTACAATATGAAAAGAACAAGACGTAAAATTATTTGATTTTACGTCTTGTTTCCTTACTTTATTTTTTAGTTTTTTTTTTTACATTATAATATTTTTTTATTAGCTACTTAAACACACTAATATATTTTACTACTCTTACTAGTAGTAACTACCGACGTTAAAGCCTGTTTTTATTTTTGTAACTGATTATATAAAACATTAATATGTATTATTAAAACGATAAAAAATAAATGTGTTTCCATTACTTTGTCAATTTATAATGTTTATATTTCATTGATTTAAGTTGGTAAAAATTACCTTACATACAACCGCTCGATAAAATAAAATGTTGAGTCTTACCTAGTTTGAAGAGCACTTCCCAAAACAATAGCAAAGACACCACTGACGACATAACGACACGTGTTTTGCATCTACACGAAGCATCTTCAGGTAACATATTGTCGTCAGTGATGTGTCTTTTCTAGTGTACTGATAGTGAGGGATAGTGCACGCAATTGAGGGAGGGCGGGAGGTGCTCTTCAAACTAGGTAAGACACATCATTTTATTTTATCGAGTGGATAAAATAAAATAATTATAGGAACATAAGTTAGGATCGCGATCTGTCAACTTTCACTTGAAAAGTACGGCTCGAAAAGAATATTAATTTGCATATTAATAATGTTTATTTCGCTTAACTTAACTGAGTCTAACTCATAATTATTTATATAAATTAATTTAAAATATTGAAACCAGTCTGTGGAATATTTTAAATACCTACATATATCCATGGTCAATGTTTATAAGGGAAAGCAGCAGTGAGTGACTAAATATGTTTGTGGTCTGGCGTTATCATGATGAAAGATCACTCCTTTTCTGTTGATCAATTCTGGCCGTTTTTTCTCAATTTCTTGCTTGAGTTTCATTAGTTGTTTGCAGTAGAGATCCAAATCGATGGGTTTCCCGGCGGTATAAGCTCATAATAAACGATGCCCTTCCAATCCCACCATACACACAGCATCACCTTATTGCGTGTTAATCCGGGTTCCGCCACAGAATAAATAATAGTACAAGAACAGAAGGATCACTCTCTGATACCAAACTTGCGAGTTTAAACTTAGTTACAACGTCGCTAATGTTCATAATACTTTACACACCTTGGAAGTGACCTTTGCGAAATTAGCCTACCGTTTATATCGTCGAAAAAAATTATGCGTCGCGCGTATTAAATCAAAATGTAACTTATTTCTGCGTGCGAGTGTCTGTATCACTTAGCCCGTTACGCGCCTTTGTTAAGGTTGCTTCTACTGTAGGGTTAGGTGTTGTGAGAAAACAAATTGATTTCTTTAATATAAGTTGGTATGTACCGTTAGGGGTTCAGAAGTAGATTTTTAGTTTTTTAGTAAATTATTTATTTATCTTACTTCCGCACACGTACCCGTAAGTTCTATGAAGGGGATCACTAGCTTGACGAAGGGGCGAAGTCCAAGCGCTGTTCCCTCAGGGTCGTAGACAGCCAGCTAGCAGAACGAGCCGGTGATACCCAAGCCCGACAGTGATGATGGCCGTTGGTAGGATGGTAGGCCAACACTCCGTTAGCTCGCGGCGGTAGGTAGATGCTTAGGTAGTAGGTAGATCCTGGAATCCTAAACGGAGGCCAGCATTAGGGAAACTTCCTATAGCAGTATATGCGCCCTAGTCAATTCCAGCACCCCTTCTAGGAAGTTAAAGAGTTCTTAAAGCTAAGCACTAAGCAGCCTCAGCAGAAGAGATAATAATTAAGCAGAACAGTTACAATGTTTCAATTAATAAGAACTCACCCCAGCGGGATCAACTGCACCTCGAATAATTTAACTTTTAATTGTAGGTAAGCAAGTTCAACGGTTGTTAGTAGGAGGGTCACGCGCGTTGCAAACTTGAAGCAGTCTCAGCAGGCCTCTGTTACTCTTGCTACCTGCGTGAAATGATTACCTACAATCGCGGGCTGCCCCAGGGGTAGATCGCAGTCGGGGCTAGCGCGCTCTATACGAATGAATGTTAAAAGTTTTTTTAACGCTGTGTACGTAAATAATTTTTTGTAAATACTTGTTGAAATACTCCTCGAAATAGTTTTTGTTTAGTGTTTACTATATTAAATTGTAGGATAAAATAGTTGGAAAAGTTTCAATGTAATTTTAGAATAATAAATATGTATATTACCTATCTATTTAATAAATTATAATGACAAAACGTCGTTCCTACTATAATTGTTGCGGGGATGGATGCTTAGTAAGCAATTAAAAGGATTCAGATATATTTTTTGACTTACCGAAGGATAATGAAAGGTAAATTTATATAATTTTTTTGTTAGATAGGTACTTATAGCGAAAAAGTAATTAAGTAATAATTTAACTACAGAAGTAATCCCTAAGTACCTTATTATAAAACTTAGTTGAAATTTACTTCACTACACAAGTACCTACTTACATACCTAAGACAACCTAACCTTAAAACTTTGTTTACAAGATTTTCAACTAAGTAGATTACGATCACATTTCTGTTTGGAATAGTATTTCGAGTTGATATGTTGTTTATGCTATCTACCTATACGAACCAAGCATCGCGATTCCCGAGTTGCATGCGTTGGGCATCACAGAACTGACGTAGTAGATAATAGGGTCGATTAAAGTGAGCGTAGGTACTTTACCTAAGTAACTTAACATTTCACAATGTATTTTTTTACTCTTTATTAACAGCCCTTAGCAACCACAAAATGTCCGTTGTGACGTAGTAAGGAGAAAAGATGCAAAGTAATACGAACAATCGCGCGCAGTGATAAAGTTTTATTTAGCTTGCGTGCGCGATTTATCTGATTAATAATAACTATGGGCTATTATATATTAAATATATATTAAATATATGTTATATATATTAAAACGTCGGCAAGCAGTCAACATCAAAAGAGTGCAACTTCTGTACGTTAGTACTATTATTTATTCTGTGGTCTCAGGTAGAAATGAAAAAGGAATGACCCGTACCACAGAATAAATAATAGTACTAACCCGAACGGGGACTCGTCGTCGTGTCGGAATCCTACCGAGTCTTTTGTTTTAGAGATCGGTGATCAAAATGGTTGACGCTGCGCGGATAAAATTAACTAGTCTATGGTTCCGTGGAATAACTATTTTAAATTAACAATATGTAATAATTTATTACTTTTTATTTTTAGATTAGAATATTATATTACTATTATTTATTTAAGATTATATCTATATTATTATCTATTTAAGATTAATTAATTATAAGTATTAGTAAGGGTGCATTCAGATGCACCGTTACAGGTAGTAGAATACACCGAGGTGTTATGCAATGTATTAGTAATTTGCTGTTATAATAATATCATTCTTCAATGGTTTCAGCTGTGCATTGATATGTCAGTCAATCAGTCAGTTTTTTCATGAGTATCTACTTACAGTAATAATGAACGTACCTATTGTAAGTACCTAGGTAATAATTAACATTTTGCAATATGCAACATGGAGAAACATTAAGATTATAACAACGTGAACGTCTTTGAAACTCAGATAATTTACCTACTTATCATTTTCTGTTTCACATTTTTTGCTATTTACAAACATGCGACTCGTGACGGCATTACTAATGAAAGAGTAGCAATGAGAAGTGCTATATCTCATTCTTTATCGACAAAGTGTTCAAACGATTATATGTTGATCTTGCATATTAAGCAGTCACTAGCACTGAGACGTCTACTCATACTGATTATTTTTTAGTCATTGACATTATACGCGTAAAAACGAAAACGTGAGTAGTTAGACTCCGTGAGCCAGAACTGGTACAACTCACCATCCTCAGTCCTCAGCGGCTGACGCTGAGTCGACGGATCCTAATAAAACAAAAAAGTTTTGGCGTGCTCTGATCACGAATCTGCGGTCCGTTTTTGCGTAGGATGCGCGGTTCTGAAGACACATAAAACTGTGCATTAAACATCACTGAAACTTATATAGCAAATATATAAGCAATATTCACCACAAACTGAAGTCCACTCATTCTGAATCCTATCAATATTCCAGTCCCATCTTTTACAATTCCTTTTTAAAAACTCTAGATAATATCGTACAGATGATCATCCATACGAATCAAAATATTGACCGATGCCATTCGTATCGATATATAAAACTATCCAATGTGAGCCTGGTTTAGCATCTGTATTCAAATTGCATATTATGTCCGTTGGTAGGTGGGTATATATGGCCAGTCTATTAGCAGCATAAACATTATTTTCTAGACTGGGATGAATCTTTTTCAGATGTTGTTGTACATATAGTGTATCCATGATATTACTGTGCGAATTATAGCGACTTGTAAATATTTATATCGTATTCTTTTGTGATGAGTTGTAGGAGTCCTCGGTGTAGCGCAAGTCGCAACACGAAAAAATGCGAGATAAGCTTGTTGACTCATAAAGTTACTATCAGTTTCACTGCGGAAATGTTTAGATTGGATATAACTTACTGGTGCTGTGTGTGTGTGTGTGTGTGTGCGTGCGTGCGTGCGTGCGTGCGTGTGTGTGTGTGTGTGTGTGTGTGTGTGTGTGTGTGTGTGTGT